CCAACTTGCGGGCATCCGTGTATTCGTCTGCCAGACGAGCAGCCTCGGGTAGGGTAGAGGGTTTTCTATCTCTGACCCACTCCCGGACCCCAGCAGGTAGTCTATCAAAGCAGTGTTCCAGCAGGAACACTTGTAACACCTCCTCCCCAGTTACCACTTGGCATCCAGCCATCCAGTGGGCTACGGTACGATGAACTCTGCAGGCCCACTCCACATAAGAGTCCCCAACCAGCTTGTTGGTTTCTCTAAACCTCCGCCTGTACGCCTCTGGGGTCACCGCATACCTGGCTAGGAGCGCATCTTTCACAGCTGGTGATCTCCTCCTCAGGGATGGCCCGAAACGCCTCACTAGCCCGGCCAGATAATTTCCCAGAGAGGATGGTGACCCATTCATCTGCAGGTACCTGATGTAGAGCACACTGCCTCTCGAAGTCCGCTAGGAACCCATCAATCTCTCCCTCAGTCTCCACAAATTTTTTAAATGCAGCAAAAGGTACCTTCTTTCTAGCAAACACATTATTATTGAAAGGTACCTCTGCTGCTGCAGCTCCTCTTTCCCGGAGCGCCTGTTGTGCTGCCACTGCTGCCTGCACACGCTCCATGATGTTAGCTGAGGGGTTGGGGCCAAAATGTGCCAGCCTTATTTGCACTGCCTGGTTAAATTGTATTTCCTCGGGTGTTAAATCCAAGGTACTGGGCACGTTGACTCTCTCCATTCCCGTTGCTGCATCCATCTCCAGTAGCAAAGCAATAATCTCCCGTTTCTTTAAATTGCTTGCTGACCTTCCTCGGCGTTCCAATATGTCCTTAAGTGTAGCACGCCTTAATTCCTCGTACTGCATGTCTTGTAGCTGACCTCCAATGCTGTAGGATTCATCCCGTCGCTTGCCACCAATTGTTAAGACACCTCTAGTGTCTTTAAGCCAAACCGCCGTTTAGTAGACCTTCCCCGGCTGCAGTACAGTCTCCGTTCGCTTACTCTGTAACACACGAACCAAATGCAGGGGAAGCGGCAATCTCCCGATCGAGATCCGTGAACGGCTCCAAACTCCCGAACGGCAATACACGAACTGCTGGTAACCGTCGAACAGCAATATTCACCAAGCGGCTTTCGTTCCATCCAGCAGTCTCTAAACGTGAACAAGAAATCCCCCCAATAACGAGACAGAAGCTCCGCATTGAGGGTCAAACAGAATCTGGCTTTACTGTGGGCTACCTGCCCGTATTTATGCAGGTCACCCACTTGGTGGACACTCCCCTAGGGGACCAAATGGGAGACTTAAATTACAGACAGATCTGGGGACATCCCAGACACACAGTCACAGATTTTACCCACAGTGCATTATGATTCCCTCCCCTCTGCCCTGGAGTTAATTACCAAGTAACTCAATTAACTCCAGGACAAAGCCAGTCGCCATCTTAGACATAAAATAATAAAAGACATAAAAATATATAACTACATAAAAACTGAACATTTCCCATTCGTATTACATGTCCCCAGATAGCCTGGATCTGAGTGCATATTATTAGCGAATAGCGCTCAGATCCCACACACATAGTTCAATCGCCATGGAGTCAAAGTTCTTACAGTCTTTCGGTATACGAATGACTCCATGGGAAGGCTATCTGGGTTAAGTCTTTTCGTATGCTCTCAATCTCCCGAACGGCCGGTGTTCGCATGCTTTCGTGGAGGCAGCCAGGCGTTCCGTTGTTTCAGCGGTGTTCGGCAGAAAAAGTGTCCGTTTTCAGTTCCATAGAAATAGAGCCAAACACCGCTGGGCGTTCGCTTGATTTAAAATGGCCGCTGCCTCGTGGTCGACATACGAACGACGACCACCCTGAATTCGGTTTAATTGAGAAGTGTCTGCGGTTAACCACAACGTTCTAATTGGGATCACTTCGTTAACCAGCAGCACACTCCTCACTTGGGTGGCCGTTCGTTCGGCAGGTTTGTTCGGGAAAAAGAGTCATTCGCATGGCTGGGCTATAGAAACCAGCCATTCATACGAACGGGGGACAAACAGACGAACGTAGTAAAAATCCAAGCAGACAGATGGTTCTGTCACAATATGTATCCCTGGTTATCCTCTTCTTCTAATGGAGGTAGCTTAGTCGTTGATCCAATTCAGTACTGCCACTGTCTGAGCTATGTAAAAACAAAACCACACACTATCCCAAATTCCAAACCTTTTTATTACCACACCAATGACAAAGTGTAAGCTCATCTGCCAACAACTCACCTTTGTTTAGAGGAAACATTTCTAATGTGACACAATAGGGTGTTCTTATGAACCACTTCAAAAACTGGACCACTACAAACTATTTAACCCTAAAGAGGGCACATATGAGGTCAGTGGCCGCACTTTAGCATGGCTCTGTAATGCAAAAGCAATGCTGATGCTTCATAAATAAAAATAATAGACACCAAATATATTAATATTGCATGCACTAATATAATAAGAGTTTGGAGGATATGCAGCTACTATTACCCTGTGTTCAATTTACTCACTGCAGTTCTCCTTTTCCCTGATCGAGAATGTGGGATAGAACTCTGGAAGGATGGCATAGGTGGTTTGTGCAATTGTACTCTCCATTACATATGACATAAAAATGTAATGCACCACTAGTTAACAGGACATTGTTGGCACTATAACCATTCATATTGAATTAGTTATAGAGTCTGGAGTCCTCTGGCACTGTACATCTATTCAGAGTTAAACTACTGAATGGACGTTAAAAACAATACATTCAGTCAAACAGCATTTAATATTGAATAGGAGACAAGGGACTCAAAAAAGTACTATAACCACTTGAATGAGATGAAGCTTTTACAGTGCCTACAGTGTCCTATGAAGCAGAGGTTGAATTAAAATAAATTTTGTATATTGGATGTCCCGCCACATTGTTACATCACTAAGTACGTACTTACAAAATGTCTATTTAGATTTAATTCAATCGGATCCTTCTTTTTAGGAGGTTATTATATGTGGTGTATGCAAGTACATTACATCTGAGGTTCTTAAGGACTATATGCATGCAATTCTCATTAGTGAGGGATTTGTTTATAGAAACTCCTGTATAGAGGCCACAGAGCAGTGCAGTGGGGGAGTGGGCCTTGACAGGGCCAGAGAGTGGGCAGGTAAAAAGGGGGTGGGTTTAGGGTAATGCAGCTTGGGGGTGGTCAATGGCTAGTTTAAATAGTGGCCATCTCAGAGAGTGGCCATTTTAATCAGAGCTTCACTCACCTGTTAATTGTGACAGGTCAGCGGAGTTCTTCTTCTTTTCTCGTTTCTGCAGGTCATGGCATCGCTGGAGGAAATACTTGCGGGAGTCCGGGTGGCGGTGAGAGACAGGGCCTGGCGTGGCTCCATGAACAGCTGGGCGCAGCTGCAACTCGTCAAGAGGCACCGGAGCGGAGACCGGTGCAGAGGACAAGACCACCCCAGCGGCTGAGCCTGGGTTTGGCACCCGTAGCTCGGCGTCGGAGGAGCCCTTCAGCGGGTGAAAGGTCGGCCGCAGGTTTGGGAGGTGGAAGGGCAGAGGAGTCAGGAGTGCGGCCGGCACCATCGAGCAGGACTGCCAGTCAGGCGAGGATGGTCGCAAAACAGGTTCCGCGAGTAAGGAAGGCACCCCACGCGATAGCGGCAGGCAGGAAGGCGGGAATGGCGGCGGCTTCCAGCATGGCTGGGAAGGCAGCCGGGGCAGAGGGCAGCCACGTGGTCGGGAGGCAAGGTGCAACATGTCATGGTGAGTCAGCCAACAGGGGAGCCACTGAGGGTCAAAGGGGTGATAGTGCTGCTGGCTCCACGGCACAGGCGGTCCCCAGATGGCAAGGAGAGACCTGGACAGCTGGAGAGCCCAGGGGGCAGCCCAAGGGGGGGCCAGGTACAGGTGCAATGACAGAAGAAAGGGAGAGGAGCGCAGCAGGTACAGCCAGAGCGCGCAGAGAGCAGCAGGAGCCAGCGAACTAATAAGTGGCCAGACAGCAGAGGTCGGCACAGGGTCAAGCAAGGCGGCTAGCGAAAAGCCAGGCATTGAGGTCAGCAGGGAGTTACAAGGGCTAGCACGGGCCGGAGGAGGCAGGAGTGTCAGAGAAGGGCGGGAGGGCAAACCAGCAGGGACAGCGCATGGAGGGAACAAAGAGAAGAGCGGCGTAGTACTAGCGCCAGGCACAGCAGCGACAGGAGCATGGCAGGGAGACAGGCGAGCAGGGACAGGAGCCCTTCACAATACAGGCGCAGTGAGTCAAGGTCCAGTTGCAGGGATGGGAGGAGGTGGTCCGGTTCCAAAGAAAGGAGGAGGAATAGTCGGCGCAGTGCATCAGGTTCCTCTGACAGGAGTTGCCAGGACCGGCGGCGTAGAGCAGACAGCAGGGAAAGTTGGGCAGCAAGGAGGAGAGGAACTCGGGATGATGGAGAGGAGCGTAGGGAGGAAGGGCGGGCAGTGAGCCAATTGAACAGACTGCCCAGGTTGTCTTCTCCTTACAGGTCGCGGAGTAACACACCTGCGGTCCCGAGGCGGGATCAGGCGGGCAGGAGTCGGCAGCTGCTGGACGCTCTGGGGCCTGGCAAGGCGGATGGAAGGACAGCAACCCCGCGGCCAGAAGCGGCCGGGGGCACCAGCAGTGAGTCCACAACTGCACTACATTCAGGGACATTCATAGGCTGTTTAAAATCGTTTCTAGAATCATGGGCAGGGGACTCACTTCAGTTGGGAAGGGTATGGGCGTCAGAGGGCGACCGGGGGGCGGAAGCCATGCGGGTGGAAACGATAGCTAGGAGAGCTAGTGGCGGGGAGTTGAGAGGCACATCTACGCCTGTGGAGACGCTGGAGGGGGAAAGGGTGCAAGCTGTGGTGTGTGGTGACATCTCAGAGGCAGCGCGACAAAATGTGCACGTGTCTTTCGCGGGGCATCTGGGATGTCACTTGAAGGTCGAGGCTAAGGAAAAAATCTGGAAAGGGGAATTTGTGGAAATATTTTCCCTTCTTCCCCTAGAGGAATTTTTGGACCTAAAAGAAGAGGGCAAGAAAGATGCCAAAAAGGAGGAGGAAGAGAAGAGGCGGAGGTATCGTAAGATACCAAAGACCTTCTGGAATTGGCTTAGGGCCTTTTGTATACTGACTAGCATTATTGGTGAAAAGAGCCCAGACTGCTGCTCACAGCTGTTCTGCTACCTTGACGGTTTAGGGGATGTGGACATATGGGGGATTAGCATGGTGGAGGTATGACGAACAGTTTCGTCAACGACTAGCAGCGAATCCGTCCATGCGCTGGGACAAAATGGACCTGCCACTATGGATGCGGATTATGATGGCGCAGCAAAACACGCCCTTTCCAGGGGCAGCAGGCGCGGCCACGGGGGGTGCAGTGTCGGCTGGACAGAAGAAGGGTTTTTGTTGGTCGTACAATGAGGGACAATGCAAGTGGGGAGCTTCGTGTAGATTCAGACCACGGTGACAATAGATGCTTCAAACAAGATAAGCCCAACGCAGGAGGGGGAGCGACAGGTGCAACGGCCCCCGCAGCTTCCGCTGGGGTTGTCACCGGTGAAGGTCGATGCGATGTTGCCATGGCTAAGGCAATATGCTGATTAAGACGACGCTAAGTTTTTATGGAGGGCTTTAAAATCCCATTCAAGGCAAAGGGACCAGGTGGAATAAGTGCGAATCTTAAGTCGGTAAGGGAACATCCGGGGGTGGTGAGGGAGAAGTTAACTAAGGAAGTCCAATTGGGAAGGATGGCAGGGCCGTTTCTGGCCCCGCCATTGGCAGACTTGCGGGTATCCCCTCTGGGAGTGGTCCCCAAGAAGGAGGCAGGCAAATTCCATTTGATTCATCACTTGTCGCACCCGAAAGGGGCTTCGGTAAATGATGACATCGACTCGGACCTGTGCTCTGTCTCCTATACATCATTCGACAAGGCAGTCGAGTTGGTTCGGAGGGCTGGGCACGGGGCGCTGATGGCGAAGGTTGACATGGAAGCAGCTTTTCGGCTGCTTCCCATACATCCAGATTGTCATCACCTCCTGGGATGTTATTTCGAGGGTGGGTTTTTCATGGATTTATGTTTGCCTATGGCTGTTCCATTTCATGCGCCTACTTCGAAAAGTTTAGTACGTTTATGGAATGGGTGGTGCGCCGGGAGTCGGCGGGGGGCGCAGTGGTACACAATTTGGACGATTTTTATGCGTCGGCCCGCGGACTCTGAGCGGTGCGGGCAGGTGCTGAGGGTATTCCAGTGGGTAGCACATTCTTTCAGGGTGCCCTTGGCAGAGGATAAGCCGGTGGGCCCCACCACGTGCATTAGCTTTTTGGGGTTGGAGATTGATTCGGAACAAGGGGAATGCAGGCTGCCCAACGACAAACTGCAGAGTTTGCGGCACCTAGTACACACGGTCAGGGGAGCAAGAAAGGTAACCTTGAGGGGGCTACAGTCACTGATAGGGACTCTTAACTTGCATGCAGAGTTATCCCCACGGGGAGGGTCTTTTGTAGACGGTTAGCTCAAGCGACGAGCGGGGTGCTGCTGCCGTCCCATTATATTAGGATGTCGGCCGACATGAGGGAAGACCTGGGGGTGTGGGACCGGTTTTTATGCAACTTTAACAGGAAGGTGTTTTTCCGGGAACCGTCGTCGGATACTATGGGGCTGTTTACGGACGCGTCGGGCAGCATTGGCTTCGGGGTTTGGCGGGGAAATGGTGTGCCGAGGGGTGGCCCGAGTCGTGGAGGGCGAGCCCGCTTATCAGAAATTTTGCATTTTTTGAATTTTTCCCCGTTGTGGTAGCAGTGGCGCTATGGGGTTTGGAGCTAGCCAATAAGAAAGTCATATTTTACTCCGACAACATGGCAGTGGTGCAAACGTTCAACAACTTTTCTGCATCCTCGACACCAGTGGTGCGCTTGTTGCGGCAGTTAGTACTTCTTTGTATGTCCTTTAACATAGTGTTCAGGGCTAGGCACATCCCGGGGTTCAAAAATGTAGTGGCTGATGCGCTGTCTCGTTTTCAGTGGGAGCATTTCCGGGAAGCAGCACCTGGCATGAGGAAGCAAGGGCTGGCATGCCTGGTCGAAATGTGGCAACTCGGGACTGCCTGCTTGGGGAGTGCATAAGGAAATCGTTGGCGCCAAACACGTGGTCTGCGTATGTAAAGGTCTGGAACGTGTGGGACGAGACAGTGGAACAGGTAGGGGGTAATCACTCAGGGGACAGGCGGCTGGATGTACTACTGTGGATACTTTGCCGGTTGTTTGCAAAACAGGCATCGCCTGCCATGGCTGACAGACACATGTCCGCCTTGGCTTTCCTATTTAAGTTCAATGGGTGGGAAGCCGTCACTAAGCATTTTCTGGTCCGGCAGGCGATTAAAGGTTTCAGGAGAGGGAAGAAGACGGTTGATACGAGGAGGCCATTGTCTTTCGGGATATTACAAAGGTTGGTGGAGGCGCTGCCCGAAATTTGCCTCTCTCCATTCGAGGTGGCATTGTTCGCAGGGGCGTTTGTTTGGGCCTTTTTTGGGACTTTTCGGATAGGGGAGTTGGTAAGCGCGAATAAAGTGTGTGTAGGAGGGCTGCAGCTCGAGGACGTTGCAATAAGCACTGACAGAGTGCGTATTAAGCTGGGCCGATCCAAAACTGACATTTTTGGCAAAGGTTGCTCAGTGGTGTTGTTCAAGTTGCCGGGATCCGAGGTATGCCCTGTGGAGCGGGGTGCGGGGTACCTGGTGCTACGTCGGGTGGTTAAGGGCTGTTTTTTCGTGCACGCTGAAGGTGCGGCGCAGTCACGTTTTCAGTTCACAAGGGTCTTGCGGCTGAGATTACAGAAGCTGGGCTTGGAGCCTATGCAGTTCGGGACACATTCGTTCCGTATTAGGGCAGCAACGGAGGCAACGAGGTTAGGTCTGGGGGACGAGAGGATCAAACGGATAAGGAGATGGGAATCCTTACGCTTCCGATCGTACGTGAGACCCGACAGGTTGGTGTGAAATGGGGGGATGTGTGATTATGGTGGAGTAAGTAAGCTCGATACCATGGCACTAACATTTGTTTCGTTGCAGGTTGGAAGGTGTGGTTAATCAGCCATTCGATGGTATATTGGGCTTAGAAGAGAGCCGCAGTTAGAAGAAATGGAACACAGCTGGGTTTTCCTTAGGACCGGGTGGCGATATCATGGTTTGGTTTTCGGGGGTTTAGTTGGCAGTGTTTAAGTAGCATGTTGTTTAGAATGGTGTCGGGGGGGTCAGTACCGGACATGGTAGCGGTTCACAGCGGGGGGAACGACTTAGGGCTTATCCCCCAAAGAGAACTAGTAAGAAGAATGAAGAGGGACATGGATCGGCTCCTGGGGCTGGTTCCTGGCGTGGTGGTGGTATGGTCTGAAATGGTGCCCCGTTTTACATGGCGGCACGCCAGGGATCCAGTTGCAGTGGCCCGATGCAGGGGTAAGGTCAATAAGACCATGGCGGTTTTTATTAGGCATTTGGGCGGCGTCGTAGTACGACACCGGGAGTTGGAGGGCATGTTGCCCGGTTACTTCAGAAGAGATGGTGTACATTTGTCGGATGTGGGGAGCGATTTACTTAATCTAAGCTTTCAGGAAGGTATTAGCCGGGCCCTGTTTTTGTGTGGTGGGGGTCACACATGTCCTTAAGGGATCAAGTCATGTGCTTTGGCAGAACAGGGCGTGGTAAAGTCAGAAGTTTGCTGGACTTGGAAGTGGACAGGCCAAGGCCTAGGCTGGAGTAGGTCAGATGGAAGTGAGGCTTGGTAGGTTCAAGCTCTTCGATGGCTACGAACCTAGGGGGTTGGGGTGTCTGGGTACAGTTAACAGTATGGATATGGGGCCTCTTTGGTAGGCGTGTGTTACAAGTTAAATGTTATTTGAATGTTAATTATTGTTCAAGTGGTAGGGTCATTGTCAGGGGTATTGTGCAGGGGGATAGTAACATAATGTCAGTGATGACAATGACCCTAAATATGTTAATTTATATATATTTAATAAGAATTAATAAAGCTGTGGACTTTATACTCCAACAGGATAAACGGTGTCTGAGTCTCATTTAAGTTAAATTTTAAAATAGCACCTGCCGAATAACGACGGTGCCCATGTCATGCTATTTATTCATTACCCCCACAAACAGTTTATAATTGAATGGAAGAACAGAGACAGGGGACTCCAAACACTGTAACCACTACAATGAGACGAGGCAGTTAGTTACAGTGTCCCATTACATCACTAACTGCATACTTACAAAATGCCTATTTCAATTTCACTCACTATCAATCTTCTTTTTAGGCGCTTGATACATGTGGTTCATGCAAATGTATCACATAGTTTTAAACAATTAACTCCCAGTAATGTGTATTTACACCACACTAATGTTATTTACATTGGTATTAATAAATTGCCTCTGCTTTGTGCTCAATGTTTTTCTAACGATAACTAGATCATTATCAAATTTGCAGTAGGCCCTGCTACCAAGGGGTTACACACTGGATGAAACTGTGGCACTTGTCATAAGATCAAAGTAGAAGATCTGTGTCTGTCACTCATTTTCCAATGTGGGGGAGCATACCCCTAGACCGTGCCTTTATTTATTACAATATAGTTCACCAAGAGGGAGCATTGGAGGATACATACCCTTACCCCTTTACAAAAGAAAATAGGATGTGCAACACCAAACCCAGACAACATCCTTACTTCATCCAACAAGAGTACACATTGTACAACAAGGGCCACAAAACGTTCCAGAAAGGGACCCCGACTGTCGACAATTTACTTTCCTATTGCAAAGATTCAGAGGGAGAGAATGGGCATTTGTTTCTCTGTAGAGTAGAGAGCAGTGCTGGAGCAAATAGGAAGGTAGATGACGATTTAATGGCTGAATTTCATGTTACATTGCAAAACAATGATTATCACAAATATACGTGTTTTGGAATGGAAAGGGTTAAAGCGGTTTCAGTTTTTATATAATCTTAAAGATTGCTGGCAATATAGAAGCAAAAGGAAAGAGATACAATTTGTATAGAGAGCATTTCTAATGGTTCAATCACAAAAGCAAAGTAAGATTATTTGGCAGAGTGCATGCAATGTGTTGATCTTCCCTCTAGCAATGAAGGATTTAGTGAAGTTTACAAGCATTTAATAAGGAAACAACTTTCAGGCAATGCATAAGTTCAACTAATCTTTCATTTGTTTGCTTTTCAAATACTCAGATAAATTCTGTTTTCCGGCCTACCTTGATCACAAAATTGCAAGTGAAGCTAAGTATTAGGTTGGTTAATCTGTAATTATTGTAAATTGTCATGTGCCTGATAAACTACCTGATTCACAACTCCAGCTCATGTTGTCCCTTGTTGCTGGCTTATTGTGTGGAACACAATGTTGGTAAACACTTACATGGTTTTGAGAAATTCTAAGTCAACTTTTTAAGGGCTGACTCATGGGTTTGTAACAATGCATTGCTCTGAAAGGGTTAAACACACTTTGGAAAAATATCTTGTTCTTCATAAGTTAATGTTGAAAATTCTACAATTTTTATTTCAAAATCTTGTCCTTCTTTCTTACAAAAATATGATAAACTTTAAGGGACCACAATAGGGTCAGGAACACAAAAATGTGTTCTGCCCGTATAATGTTAAAACCACCATCTAGTACCCCCTGACCCCACTTGCCTCCCTAAATATAGTAAAATCGTACTTGTATTCAAGTCTGCAGCTGCTGCCTCTGTCCCTGATCTACCTGCTTGGCTGACATCATCAGAAACTAGAAAAGCTACAATTTCTGGGGAAATTGTGTGAAGTGTTCTTGCCTCCACCAGTAGTCTACAACTGGAGTGGGCTGAGTAACTGTTATCATTTATATAGCAAATTTAATTGCAACGTTGTTGCTCAGTTACATTTAACCATACATTTATAAAAACATTAGCAGGTGTTCAAAAGGCCCTGTCTATGACATCACTTGCTGCTGCAGCCTGACACAGGTCAGAGTATTTTGGCGGTTGCCATCTTCAAACGGTCGTATTTTTAAAACTATAAATCCTACAGTGAAGAGCTTTATATTGTGAGAATCACAAGACCCAGACCTACATTTTGATGCATAGTATGTCTCTGAAGTATTAAAAATGAAGGCACAGTCGCAGTTTAGAAATTGCCCTTCAAATTTGAGCTTTGAGTGAAGTTTCAATGAATGTCAATGGACGGCGTTAGTTGCAAACAAATGGTCATATTGTGAAAACTATCAGGACTACGGCTTAGCCGTTGACATGTTTAGTGGCAGCAGGGATAGCTGAACGTTTTGATATAAGATTTGTGTAGGTGGGCCTGAAAATAAGGGAGTGGTGGCAGTTTAGAAATCATGTCCTGATTTTTCAGCTTTTGCCAGCTCCCACTCTAGCTTTGCCATTCATTCCTATGGGACAAATTTCGCCACAAGAACGACGATATTCCGTGAACCATTCAGAAACGTTCCACAAAGTAATAGCAATCCGATCGGGAACAATCTGCACGTTTTGGTAAATTTTTGTCTATGTAGTGTAAAAACTGTGGGAGGAGTTAGGGTGGCAAATTTGGCTATAATAAGAATAAGAACTAGAAAAGCTACAATTTCTGGGGAAATTGTGTGAAGTGTTCTTGCCTCCACCTGTAGTCTACAACTGGAGTGGGCGGAGTAACTGTTATCATTTACATAGCACATTTAATTGCAACGTTGTTGCACAGTTACATTAAACCATACATTTATAAAAACATTAGCAGGTGTTCAAAAGGCCCTGTCTATGACATCACTTGCTGCTGCAGCTTGGCACAGGTCAGAGTATTTTGGCGGTGCCATCTTCAAACGGTCGTATTTTAAAAACTATAAATCCTACAGTGAAGAGCTTTATATTGTGAGAATCACAAGACCCAGACCTACATTTTGATGCATAGTATGTCTCTGAATTATTAAAAATGAAGGCACAGTCGCAGTTTAGAAATTGCACTTCAAATTTGAGCTTTGTAGAGGGAAGTTTCAATGAATGTCAATGGACGGCGTTAGTTGCAAACAAATGATTATATTGTGAAAACTATCAGGACTATGGCTTAGCCGCTGACATGTTTAGTGGCAGCAGGGATAGCTGAACGTTTTGATATAAGATTTGTGTAGGTGGGCCTGAAAATAAGGGAGTGGTGGCAGTTTAGAAATCATGTCCTGATTTTTCAGCTTTGGCCAGCTCCCACTCTAGCTTTGCCATTCATTCCTATGGGACAAATTTCGCCACAAGAACGACGATATTCCGTGAACCATTCGGCGAAACGTTCCACAAAGTAATAGCAATCCGATCGGGAACAATCTGCACGTTTTGGTAAATTTTTTGTCTATGTAGTGTAAAAACTGTGGGAGGAGTTAGGTGGCAAATTTGCTATAATAATAATAATAATAATATATATGTGAGATGTAATAAGTGGTTCATATGCAAGAACACTTAATAATAATAATATATATGTGAGATAACATAAGTGGTCTTGCTATGCAAGAACACTTAATACACAATATATATGTGAGATAACATTAAGTGGTCTCGCCAAAAAGAACACTTAATAATAATAATAATATATATGTGAGATAACATATGGTCTTGCTATGCAAGAACACTAATAATAATAATATATATGAGATAACATTAAGTGGTCTTGCTATGCAAGAACACTTAATAATAATAATAATAATAATATATATGTGAGATAACATTAAGTGGTCTTGCTATGCAAGAACACTTAATAATATATATGTGAGATAACATTAAGTGGTCTTGCTATGCAAGAACACTTAATAACCTCTTCTGGGAGAGGTATAGAAAACATATGTAATAAAAAACATTCGGGTTGGGTAGGTATCACTGCTTTCAAATCATTTTGAAAAAACCTTCCCAATTCTTTCCAAAGCTTAGCAATACCTGGACATAACCAAAATATATGATATAGAGTGCCCTCCTGTTTAAGGCAGCGCCAACATAAATTTGATGCCCATGCGTATATATGAGCTATCCTAGTTGGCACCAGGTACCAATGCATATTCAATTAACAGTATGATTCCCAGTGTTGTAAATTACATGATGCCTTTTTGGTTTTTTGGTTAGCTTTATTGCCTGATGCCATTTGGATAAAGAAAATTGATAACCTAAATCTAACTCCCATTTCTGCATATATATAGGTTTTGCTTCATTCCCTATATTCATAATGTTTTTATAAGATAATGATAAAGTTTTAATAATCAGTAATTTACCCATACATTTGTATATCAAAGGCGGAAGTGTTTTCATTTCTTCTATTTTTATATTAAATCCGTGAAGTATATTCCTAATGCATTCCTAATGCATAGGTAGGAAAACAACTCTCTCGGAAGTATGGAATAATCTTTAAGTATTTCAGGGAATTGCTTAATGCCTATAGTATTATAAAAAAAAAAAAAAAACCTGTGTGACACCATGATTTAACCAGGTGTCCACTCGTAAGTCTTACGGGAAGGCAGTAATAATCTGTACCGTGGCTGCATATAGCAAAACCTTATCATCTACAATTTTGGGGATATATATTTCCACATTTGAAGTAGTGTTTTGATAACTGGTATCCTATTATTTTTCTTCCCTATTATTATTTTACCTGTCCACAAGGCTTGTGGTAATGTGCCTTGATGCATGCAAGCATTTTCTAATGCTAACCACAAAGGGGAAGGTATTCGTTCTAATATTGATATGCCGTGTGCTAATATTGAGGCTTTATAATACATTTTAACATTCGGAATACCAAGGTCACCTTTCTCATATGGAAGCCACAGTAAGTTCTGCTTTGTTCGGGGAGGTTTCCTTTTCCAAATGTGTGCATTTATTAAAATTTGAAATTTACTTAATATTGTGTTCGGTATAGCAATTGGGAGAGTACGGAAGAGGTACAAAATATGTGGTAAAACCATCATTTTTATAGTGTGTATTCGGCCCAGCCAAGATATGCTTTTGGCTTCCCATTTTCTCAATGGTTGTTCTAATTTAATTATAAGTGGTATATGATTCTCTTTTATAATTAAATTATGTGTGGAAGGAAGTTTAATTCCTAAGTATGTTATTGACTTTTACCGCCAGTCAAAAAGATGTGTATTTTGTAATGCGTTTACCACAGATGTGGGAAGACAATGCTTGAGATTTTTTTGTGCTATTTTTATAGTATGATATCTCTCCAAATCTTTGTAGTGTCTTTAATAAAATTGGAATTGATAAATCTGGATTAGTTAAAAAAAGCAAAACATCATCCGCATAAAGAACTATTTTTGAGACACCCGCAGGGGTATTCAGTCCCTGTATCCCTTTATGGTTTTTAACATGTCTTATTAAGGGCTCCATACACAAAATAAAGATTAATGGTGAAAGAGGGCATCCCTGTCTGGAGCCATTAGTGAAATAAAACAGACAGGAAAGAAAACCAGAATTGCTTATTTTCCCTGCTGGTCGAGAGTAAAGAACTAAAATACGTTGAAGAAATGCTAAAGGGAAACTCATGCTCAAAAATACTTCTTCCGTGTATTGCCAGCGTCGAGAGCCAGCAATAAACCCTGTTGGTTACTAAGATGTGCCCAAGTAATTAAATTTAAGCAGTGGCATGTGTTGTCTCCTGGTTCTCTATTAGG